ACCACCGCAACCCAAAGCACAAAAACCCTAGCCCCTAAACCCTAAGCCCTGAACCGAAAACCCAAACCCCCTAAACCCTACCATACGGGTAGTTCTTTACACTGGGGTCCCTCCTATTCTTTTTTATCAGGTGCCGACCCTGATTCAGAGAACAACCCAAATCTGCTCGGACCCCGACAGCTGGCCCGCGACACGGCCGACACAGATGAGCGCATTGGTGCGGATCGAAGCTTCCGGATCCTTCAAGGAACCACTTGAAGGGTCGAGGGGCTTAGTAAGTAGGCATTAAAAGTAGAACTTAACAGAGTATTTTAGGGACTAAAGCTACCCATAGGCTCCATAGTAGTTCCTTTTGGGGACTACCTTATAGGATTCTACATGTGAACCCCCAAAAAGGAACTACTTTGGGGCCTTTGGGTAAGCCCGTAATCCTTGACCGTAAACCCTACCACCCCAAACACCGGCCTAGTTTAGGTGTGCTCCCTAAGGGTCCATGTTGGGGGCCAAAGTACCTATAGTCTCCATTGTAGTTCCCTTTTTTGGTTAATTATAGGGTTCTAACCATAAAACTGGTTAACCAAAAAAGGAGCTATGGAAACTGTAGGTATATACTATTTGGGTACATAGACCCTTAGAGAATGTAGTATACTCTGACAAAGACCCCTAAGGAATCCCATTCAATGGCCCTGCCACAAAGGTCCATGTGCTCGCATAGACACTGGCAGGAAGAGTAGGGCTTCCGGTTTAGGGGTTTAGGGGTTTAGGTGTTTAGGGGTTTAGGGTTTAGGGGTTAGGGTTTGGGGGTTTAGGGGTTTATTCGGCCAACTCAACTACTATCAGCCTTGAGCGTTGAAACCCCAATAAAATTCCTGTTCTGGGGTAGCTTCCTGAAAGAAAGGCGTTGCGCACAAGGAAAAGCTCAATATTTCGGGATTGAGGGGTAGGACGTGCTGAAATGCAGAAACACTCTCAAGGTCCATGAGCATGTATAGGATATGCTTCGGCCATTCAGGGGTAGCTCGACATGGAGCTCGCTCTATATCCGACTTTAAACTGGGGGTTGGGGTTTGCAGTTTACAGGGCTTAAGGGCCATTTTCACAACTGCTGTGCCAGATGACAAAGGTCCATCCCGACATCCTACGCCCCAAAGGAGGCCTGGTCAGAGATCCCAATACCCCTTAAGTAGGGGATATACCTTAAAGTATAGGGGGCTTAATATTATGGTTTGCGGTAAATGTTCCTTCAACGGGATATCCTTGGTTTTGCTTTTATGGATTGGGGGTTTAGGGGTTTGGGGTATAGGGTTGAGGGTTTAGGGTATAGGGTTGAGGGTTTTAGGGTTATGGGGTCGACTATTGACAACGCCCCCCCTCCGCCCTCACGAAAGCGTCAACCTCACAAGCACTGTGAATCTGAAATTGTCAAACCCAGCCGTGAGGACGAGATGGTCCGCAAAAGCACAGGGCCTGTATACATCTTTTCCTATACATCCTGCCTACTTCTGCCTGCGGTAAACACCTATGTTGGGTTGGGTGTTAATCATATCTAACCATTAGCTCCCTCAGTCAAGGTTCATAGCCCCGAGGGGCCATGTACCTGAACAGTTCATAGTTTGGCCTCTAAGCGGGTCTTGTGGTGCAGCTGTAGAACCAATGTCTAGTCTAGGGCAAATCTTTGACACTATGAAACCCTTGAGTAAGCCCTCCAAAACTGGAGGTCTCACCCCTAAACTCTAATTCCCACATCCTACTGCTGTAAACCCAAAGCCCTGAGATCTTCGCAAGTAGCTTTAGAATCTCATGTTTCCCTAGAGCTAGCCAAGAACGTTGAAGGCATATGCGAAACACTATACCAAACCCCATCAACTCAGCCCGTTTAATTACATCATCTTCACCAGAATCCAACTACCCTTTACTGTAGTCCCTAATTGCCTCTTAATGTTTATGAGAACCCTTTAAAGGGTACTTAAGGGGTGCTGGAAAACCCTGGCCCAAAACACTGAACCCTTCAGCACCTCCACCGGAAGCCTTCACCAGAACCCGGGCCTGGAACCCTAAAGCCCAAACCACGGAGACAGCCCCTAAGCAGTTCCTTTTTGGGGTTCATATGTAGAACCCTATAAGGTATACTCCCAAAAAGGAACTACTTTGGGGCCTATGGGTAAGTAGCCAAAGGACAGCCTGCATCATCTTCACCAGCAGCTTCAGAACTCGATTCTCCACCGTTTTCGGCTTCAGCCGGGGCACGAAGAAGATCATCGACCTGGGTCTGTGTTTGGGGGTTCCTTCAAAGGCTCTATAGGGTTCATGGGCTTGGGCTTAGGGCTTAGGGTTCAGGGGTTAGGGCGGCCTACGCCCTGAACCCCAAAACCCTCAACCCTACACCCGAAATCATACCCCCAGGTACACACCTCTCAACCTCACAGATGATCCCTGAACCCGAACTCCTGAATCAAAATCCTACTCACAAAACCCTGAACCCTAAACCGCACCGAACAGGGCCCTCGTGTCTAGGTATGCTTGGGCCTGTGCTCGAGTGAACGTTCCGGCTGGTCTTGCTGACTTGGAGGCTCCAGAGGATTTAGCACGTAGCTTGTGAAGGGTTTAGGGTTCAGGGTTCAGGGTTTATAAGCTTAGGGATGCTGTGGTCATGGTTGGCGGTTATGAACTACACAGGGTCTTCCTGGAGTCGCTGGAGTCATCGGAGATCAGCACAGAGTCTATGCTTGGAACCCCCTTGTCCTTAGAGCGGCTCGAACCCAGGGGTTGGAGCAAAGGCAGTAGGAAGGCCTATTGAAGGCGACAGAAAGGCAAAGCGATAATTACTGCTAAGGCGGGTAAAAGACCGAGGAAATACAAATCAAAGGCACGCGCGAGGAAAAGAGTCAAATGAAAGGCAACGATAATGACAACGCCGGTGGTCTCACTGGACTCCGCTCTCATGCCGTGTCTACAAGTCTGCTGCCTTGTGTTTCCGTATAATTCCAACCCTGAATTGAGAAGTCTGTGACAACAAGAAACGAAAGTTAAACCAATACTGCCAATACAGCTACACCTAGAGGGTCATACCCTACCCCTTTTTAGGATACCTAGTTTCATGGTTAAGTTCTCTTATATAGAAAAGTAGGTACTAGGTACCTTAAAAAAGGGGTATAGGGTATGACCCTATAGGCAAGGAGTACCTTTCCGTGCCTTTGCAGATCTCGGCACTCCAGCTTTGTAGTGCCTTTGCTGTGCCTTCATTTTGCGTTATTGTCAACTCATGGCACACCTTGCTTTCTAAGGAGGCAGGGTTCCAAGTCCACGCGCCCGAAACCCTCATCCCTAACCTAACATAAGGGTCTTAACAATTAGAATAAGGTTTTGGGGACCAATATAGTATAATTACGATAAGGACCCCCCAAACTAGTATTCCCTGAGGGTCCATGTATCCAAATAGTATATACTTTGGGCCCAATTTACCCATGTAGGGAGTACTTTAAGGCCGATGTATGTACTATTTAGGAACATGGACCCTTAGGGATTGGTAAATATTTAGGCACGTCTAGCCAGACCCTCCATCTACCCTCTATTATACCCTAAATGCCCCTTATTTGGGACCATATACCCCTATTTGAGCGTACAAGGAGGGTCCTGGTATTAAACCCAGAACGGGTGCAACAAGCTTCGAGCTCTAGTCGGAGGCGGAAAGGACTTGGAAAAGAGCCAGCATCGAAGGCGTAAGGTTTAGGGGTTTGGGGCTTTGGCTCTAGTGGTTTAGGGAGTAAGGTTTAAAGGTTTGGGGTTTAGGATTTGGGGGGGGGGGCTTTGTGTTTAGGATTTCGGTTTTGTGGAAAGCTTGCTGCGCAAGTCCAGACCGGCAGACCACTTCCAGGCTGCCGCCCTGTAGGGTCCGAATTGAAATTCTACGATCTGAGCCCGAAAGCCCAAGCAAATAGAAATTCTGAGCACACCCTGAAAGCCAAAACCCTAAACCCTGGACAATCCAAGCCCTTATCTCCCCTTCTAGCCCCTAAACCCTTAAGCCCTGAATCCGGAACTTTAAACCCTTATCCTCTCAACCCGTGAAGCCCGCCGTATATCGACATGTGTAAGATCCGGGCTTCACGGTCGCCTGGTCGGCGTTTGGGTTTGGGGTTATGCTTCAGCGTTCATAAAGTTTAGGGAGCCGAGATGTTGTGACTTGCTGTTAGATTCCATGCTGCTCGGCTTCTGTGGCGGGGATTGCGGCTTAGGGTTGAGAGGGTTAAGGGTTTCGACTTGTTCTACTCTGTGCTGGTTACAACTTACTGTATAGCAGACCAGACATAAATAGTCTGCGTAAATAATTATTATTTGAGGGGCAATACGTGTGGGGGGTTTCGGGTTTAGGTTGCAGGGCGGTGGGGTTTAGGATTTTAGGTTTAAGGCGTTTGTTTCAGAGAATGCTTTGGAGCCAACAGATAGCCTAGGTTAGCTTTAGACAACCCGACAAAAAGTTAAAGTCCTAAGAGCGAAGCAACGGCAAGGCAAGAATAGATTCTGAGTGGCCCCATGATCAGAGCTTCTTGCGGGATTTAGGGATTCAAGTGCCAATCACTGCACCGCACTCTTGGCCTCCCTCCTTGCAGCAGCGATTGATGATGTAAATCCTGCATTACCGTAATGATCCTAGACTATGGGAATTATGGTATATTAGTATATTCCTTACTATGGGTACTGCAGGACTTAATCATCAACCGAGTCACCCAGACTTAGACTGGCAATTGATTACGTCGAATTTACGGTAGCCGCAAAAGGCAATGCATGTCGGCCGCATTGAGCAACAGCCCTCCCGCATGATTCGGTGCGTTGCGTGGGCATGTGAACCTAAACCATACGGTTGATGATATAAATCTGCATTACTCATATTGAGGAATATACCGTAATTTCCATAGTCGAGAGAGATTAAGTGATGAAGGTAATGCAGGATTAAATGAGAGCATAGGGATTGCACGCAAGAGACTGTTTACCTGCGGCTGCTAGGTGCGACCTGCAAGGAAGGCCTCAAATTCCATGATGTCGTGCTCCACATAGCTCAACCCGATCTTGTCCAGGTAAGCTACCTCTGCGGTCTGCGAAGCACCGAGGCCACTATCCTTTCGGGCCTCCTGCCTAGCCTTCTCGTTGGCGAGCAGATACCAAGGCATCTTGCCTTTGCCCCTGCCGTCCTCAAAGTAGAAAACGTGAAGTGTCTGGCGCAGTTCAGCCGCCCGGTCCACGTTCCGTGCCCACTCTTCGAACCATTGACAACCCCAGGGCGCCCTGTCCTGATTCTCGATGCAACGGACTTCGGCATCTTGCAAAGCCTCTTCGAGCTCTTGCTCCCATTCAATGTCTGTTTGATGTTGCTTGATCAACAGCCGTTGGCCCATCGCTTCAGCATCTGCTCGTTTGAAGGCAAGCGTCTGGTCATGGTTAGCAGACTCGTGAGTACTGATTTCCACCACACTGAGGTACGTAGAGGCTGGCACTCGGCCGTAAATTTGCTGGCACCAGCACTTGCCAGGGGTCTCTGGGTTGTTCGCATGCAGACCAAGGCCAGAAGCTCTGTCAGTCAAAAACACACACGCAAGTGAGAACGCATCCACTCGAGCAACACTTGAGACCGCTTTGTCCCAAAGGTCGCTGTACTTACCGGGAAACGATACAACGCAGTCAGCTGCACTCCGGCTGATGTGCCCTGGGAAAGCCACGCGTGCGGAAGCCAATCCAAACCCTGACAGCTCCGCAAGCCTTTGCAAAGTTTCAAGATTCATCGGCGTGTGGCCCACCATGCCACTGAGAACGAGCACGTTGAAGACTTGGAAGGACACGTCAAGAGCCACTAGTGTCGGTGGGAGTCCCCTATCAGCAATGGTGGTTTGCGGGAACGCGAACAGGCTGACAAAACTCAAAGCTGGGCCTAAAGGGACCAGGCAAGCATTTGCATACAGGAGGCATGCCGTCGAGCGGATGGATTCATTTCCTCTTGCTTGCACCATAGCTCTGCTTGCTGCACGGCACAATGCCCAACTCTGAACGCCCACGACAGCGAAGCAGCAGCCGAAACTCAGATAGACGATGACATCAGTAACCATATAACTGATATACACATCGAAATCTCGGCGGGCGAAAGACAACACCAAAGAAGCACAGAGCGAACAAATACCAAGCTTTGTAAACACGGCACAGCACCGGGCTGTCCTATTCCAGCCGAGAGCTCGAAGTTTGAGCATGGTCATGCGCACCTGCAGGACGTTGCATAGGACTTCCCAAAGAAGCATTGCCACATTCGCCTGCCACATGGCACGCAGGCCTGGCTGACAGACGGGCAGCGCGAGACAACAGAGTGTGACGAAGCTCCACACATGCAGTGAGTTGTTGACGGAAAACCGGTCCATCCTATGCACAAAAACGTAGAGCCCAAAACCTGTCACGAAGGGCCGAACAATCGCATCGCTTAGCTTATGGAAATCCACGGACTCCTTGTAGCAAAGCTCCACACCGCAGGGGTACACGTGGTACGGGTCCTCGCTAAACACAAATGGTAGGCCACCAGCGATACGTGCCAAGGTGTAGAAGACCAGCGCCACTTTCGCTCGCCAACGCCATCTGGGCGGTGGCTTTGCCAGATCCTCCAAATCCTTTCTCACACTTGCCAGCGTGCTTCTTCGTCTCGCAGCAGACACGAAGGCCTCGTCACTTCGGGCCGGGACCAGCATCTGCGCAGCTTGCTCATTGCCACGTCTTGTGGGTAGCTCCACACCCTCGTTCCTCGAAGCGCGGGAGGTGGGCATGGCGGAGGAACTCTTGCAGCCACCTTCTCTTTCTAGGGATCTAAGGACTCATACGTTAAGGCTTTTGGGCCCAAATTCCATACTATATAAGGCTTTTGGGCTACTTTGATCCCCAGGGTCCCTGTCATCTCCCTCACAAAGCCGTGGCAAAGCAAAGAAAAATCAAGAAGCGATATACATATACAAGGGACAGGCTATGCGGGAGTGTGCATGCGCATGTAAAGATGGAAAATATCACGATATGGCATGATATGAAACGGTATGATTTTGATATGTTGTACAATGCGAAATGGTTTGATATAGTATAATGTAGCAGTGTATGGCATGACTTGAGGCAACATAGTAGTGTGCAATGCAATATACAAAACTGTAATAGAGAACATTACAACGGAATATACAGTATCATGTAGCATGATATATGGCATGAGACAACATACTGGTGTGCATGTAATAGAAGACTCCTGTCATAGGATACATCACAATGTAGTATATACTGTACACAACTTTGTACAACCGTATGCGCGAATGATTGTACATATGCAAGCAAAGACGGATTGGTGCGTGCGCGCATATGCGCGCATAGATGCATGCATGGATGGACGCATGGGTGGATCGAGGGGTGCATTTGTGGATGGGTGGATGGATGGTTGGATCGCTGGATGGCTGGATTGTTGAATGGCTGGCTGGCCGGACGGCTGGATGATTGGATGCTTGGCTGGGCTGGCTTGATGATTGGATGGCTGGATGGCTGGACGGCTGGATGGTTGGATGGTTGGCTGTGTGGACGGCTGGATGCCTGGATGGTTGGATAGTTGGCTGAATGCATGGCCAGATGGTTGGATGGTGGTCGAATGGTCGGATGGTTGGATGGGCGGATGGATGGATGGATGGATGGATGGAGGGATGGAGGGATGGAGGGATGGTTGCAGGGTTGCGTTTGTACGTAAACCATCAACTCAACAAATATGAACCCTGACGAATTACTCTGACGACTTACTCACGAAGGCTCGAACCTTGGCGTTGTGTCCCAAGTGTCAACAAAACGACGAAAGACACGGACTGGGAAGCCTAAATCCGCCCTCAAGATTCGAGCCCCGCAACCGCAAACCCTGAAACGGGTTTAGAAAACCCTTGTGGGTAGTTGTCAAAATTAAGGTCCCTTTTTGTGTACCCTAAATAATCGGTGCCGTATTATAATAGGCACCCAAAAAGTGACCATAATTTTGACAACCACCCATGTGTGTGTGTGCGTGAGAGAATAAGACCGATAGACTGACGCTGAGCCTTTACAGACCATGCAGTCCTTAGAGGCGGATCCAAAAAGAACCGGCTGCTTGGAGGGACATTTCCTATAACTAAGGGGTCACAAAGACACTATTGTGTCGGGTTTGGGGTTACAGGTGCGGCCCTATACAGTAAGATTTTTTCGCAAAACCCCATAAAAACCTGGCCCGCCAAACCCCCGAACTCCGAAGACTGCTTTAGAAGCTAAGGTTCCATGTACATTAGATGTGACATATACTTGGGCCCTAAAGGTGCCTAAATTGCGGCTTAAAGGCCTAAGTATATACTATATAACGGTACATGGAGCCGTAGGGAAAGGCACCTCCCGGATGGGACCGTTGGAATCATTGAATCCGTTGACCTGCACATTTTCGTTTTTTTGAGGTTCAGAATTCTTATATACAAGGGCTTAAAGGGAACTCCAGAAAGTTGGAATATGGATTAATGGTAGGTTCCCCTATAATTTTCCTTAAAGGGGTTACGATAATGATATTCCAACTTTCTGGCTTCTACTGTAGCTTGCAGTGTTTAGGGCGTGAGGTTAGGACGAAAAGCTATAAACTCGATTTTGTGTTTCGCTGTTTGCTTAATTGCTCACGGCTTTTATGGGGTTCTTTACAGGTACAAAAAGGTGCAAATGGCTGTTTGTGTTTGTATGCTTTTGTGGTTCAGGGCTTCAGTGATTGAAGTTTCAAGTTTTCCCTAAGGGTCTTTGTACCGAAATAGTATATACATTGGCCTTAAAGTACTCCCTATATTATATGGGTACATTGGGCCCAAAGTATATACTATTTGGGTACATGGACCCGCAGGGTTTTTTGAGTGGACTGTGCTTTCCCTTGATTGCTCTCGCACGGGCTAGAAGGCCAAGCACTCCAGTGAAACTTTAAAGTTAGGTACTGCCCCGGTACAGTAAGAGTCTATAATAGGGCTACTATTTAGGTCCAAATATAACCATATTCTGAATAGTATTCAACTATTACTGAGTGGGGGCCGTACCCAACTTTAAAGTTTCAAGTTTCGCGTTTCAGGCTTCGGGAACAGTGGTCGCCAGCTTCCCAGTGACGAATATGACAGAAGTCAAGCAGAAACAAGACAAAGAGGTTTAGGTGATTATGGTACTGGAGGGGTAAGATAACCCTAAGGGTCCAAAGAACTCAATAGTTAGGTACTTAGGTCTCGGATAGCAGGTATGTAGGCTACTATTCGGGAGAGTATATGATAATTTGTTACTTGGACCCTTAGGGTAGGACTCCAAGGAACCATGAAGGAACCCTAAAACTTAATATCCTTAATTAGAACCCAAACTCACTCTATGAAAAACCTGACAGTGCCCCCGACGAGATGAACAGCTCTTGAGGCACCGACGCACTCGGGGAAAATCTTGTCGTTGATCAGCGCGTCATCCTTGCGATTAGGGTGCAAAGCCCCTAACACATCGGACTCAATTCGATCTAAAATCAATATGAAAAGCAACGAGCGCACCGATTCCTGTGCCCCAGGTTCCTGCCACTATCACAGCAAGCCTGCGCTAATGCTTGGAGCAAACATGAAGATCAGCTGGGGCCGGCACCAAAAACTCAATCATTTCCCCCAAAGACGTCAGCCTCAAGACTTCGTAAGTAGGGTTTCATGAGGTTTAACTCTATAAGGCTCAACATAGCCCCAAAGCCTTATATAGTATGGTCTTTGGGCCCAAAAGCCTTAAAATATGAGTCCTTAGAGCCCTAGGGATAAGTTGGGCGATAGCTGGACCCCCGCCCCCTCACATCTACACAACCCTAAACCCTAAAACCCTATAGACCCCTTAAAGGAACCCCTTAAAGGTACCCTTATAGATCCCTTTGAAGGAACCCCAGGATTTTTATCATCAACCGTACGAGCGTGAACAAGAGTAGCAGCAAACTAAACGGGGAGTCCAAAGTACAATCAGTTCTCTTGGTGGCGGTAATTCGTGGCGCTAATTCCGTGGTGGCAGTAGCAGTAGCATGTAAGGTTAGCAGTTGAAGTAGCAGTAGCATGGCAGTAGCAGCAGCAGCAGCAGCAGCACCAGCAGCAGCAGCAGCAGCGGCAGCAGTAGTAGTAGTAGTAGTAGTAGTAGTAGTAGGAGCAGCAGCAGCAGCAGCAGCAGCAGCAGGAGTTGTAGCAGGAGTCGTAGAAGTGTTAGTGGTAGTGGTAGCGGCAGTTGCAGCGGCAGTGGCAGTGGTATGACTGTTGTTGTTGCTGTGGTAACTGCAGTAGCAGAGGAAACATAGACTGTTCGAATGTACGGAAGCCCCTAAATGCCAACAGTGCCCTTCAACTTCTAAGCCTATACCCTAAACCCTGAACCCCCAAACCCTATTTTACAATAGAGCGAACCTTTATGAACACACACACACACACACACCCTGAACCGCCACAGCTTCCTTTTGACTGTCCTGCAAGAGAGTTTATGCAGGTGACAGAGGCCTGCCCGAAATCGGAATTCCTCAAAACTTCGGGCGCAGTTTCCAGGAGCAGGGGCCTTGGAAAAGTTTCTGCCATCCGAAATGCAGCCGACCCTAAACTCTGAACCCCAAGCACCAGAGCACAATAAGAGGGACGGCTGATGATATAAAGCCTGCCGGACCCATTATAAGGAATATACCACAATTCCCATAGTTTTGGGTCCTTAAGGTAATGCAGGATTCATATCATCAACAGGAGGACTTCGACCCCGGCAGTCGGAAGCGGATGGCGCGGTCTGGGGAAGCGAAGAGATGCGCCTGGGAGAAGGTCAGGTCTGCGGTTGTGGGCGTCGGGCGTTCGATAAGATGATTTCTGGCATGGCAGGAGCGACAGAGAGCCATGGTGGCAACTGTGGCACTTCTACAACTGCTACTACTACTACTACTCCTCCTAATTCCTCCTACTTCCGCTACCAACTACTGCCACTACTGCTACCACTACTCCTACTACTCCTACTACTCCTACTACTCCTACTACTCCTACTCCTACTACTACTACTACTACTACTACTACTACTACTACTACTACTACTACTACTACTACTACTACTACTACTACTACTACTACTACTACTACTACTACTACTACTACTACTACTACTACTACTACTACTACTTACTACTACTACTACTACTACTACTACTACTACTACTACTACTGCTACTCCTGCCACTGCTACTACCACTACCTCTGCCCCAACCCCTACCACAGCCGCCCTCGCCACCACCACCACCACCGCCGCCACCACCGCCGCCACCACCACTGCCACCACAACGACGACTACGACTACTCCACCACTCCACCTCCTGTTGTGTGGTAGAATTATGTAGCTCCTGTCCTCAAACCCACATACCTTCATTCCTGAGCCGCCAGCCAGGAATGATCGAGACCTATAGACTCTAAACCCAGCCCCGAATTCAACACCAAAGCCACGAATCATGAAGGCCAAAACAGGAAACCTCACCGAAATGTGTATTGCAAGCATGTGCTTAGGCCCCAAACTTGAATCGTAACTGCAGGGAACTGCTTGGCGGCTGAATCCGCCAGGTCTTGCCAAGTCACCACTAGCGGCGCGACCTTTTCTCGAAACCTTGGCTAGGTACGGCATGTGGCCGAGGGCTTAGGGTTTAGGACTTAGGATTTAGGGTTTTAGGCTTCAGTGCTTGGGGTTTGGAATTTGTCAATCGGGTTTGTTCAGGGCCTCAATCCTAACGCGCTCAAGTCTT